ATTCACGGCGGCCACCATACTCACGGCCACCACCACCACCTCCACCACCGCCGGCGTAGTCACGACGGCCATAGTCACGTCCGTAGTCACGGCCGTAATCACGGCGATCATTGTAAGAGTCGTAGCGACCGTAGCGGGAGTAGTCATCGTCGCGACGACGCCAGCCGCCACCGGAGGGGCCACGGCGATCATCGTAACGGTCACGGCGGGGACCACCTCCACGACCACCGCCACCAGGACCACCAGGGGGACCAGGGCCATCTAAAGAAGAAAAATGTAAGCTTACGCAAGGCGCAAGGGGAAGGGACGATGTAACTTACCACGCTTGGGAGGACCGAAGTACTTTCCGGGAGTAGGGGTACGAGGACGGGCACGACGAGCCTTCTCGATGCTCAGGGTGCGACCTTCAATGACCTCACCCTGGAGACCCTCCTTGGCGGCGTCAGCCTGCTCGGCGGTGACCATGTTCACGAAACCGAATCCACGGGACTCCTTGGTGTGAGGGTCAAGCATGATAGAACAGTTATCGACATCGCCGTATTTTTCGAACAGACGCGAAATATCGGACTCGGTCAGGCGCGGGTGAATACCGGTGACAAAGAGGTTGGAGCCCGAGTTGATGGCACCTTCATCGTCTTCCTCGAGAGGCTTGCGAGCCAGAGGAGCTCTATGGATTTATTAGCTTCGCATTGATATAGTAGATCAGACAAATACATACCTGTCATCAGAGCGGCCATTGGGGGAGCGGCTGCGAGCACGGTCGCGGTCGGCTCGAGGCTCATCGCGAGGAGAGGCGCTGCGCTCGCGATCATAGCGAGGCTCGTCTATTGAAAAACGGTAAATATTTTTAAGCGCATCGAAATAATTCTAAAACACATACCTGCGTAGCGACTTGAATCGTTGTCGTAGTCCGCCATGATGAAAGGACTGTGAAGGTGTAGGTTGGAAGAAGGAAGAAAGAGAAGTTGGAAAGCTGATAAGAGACGCTAAGCACCGGGAACTCTACACACCCGAGGAATCAGGCAGCTGTGCAAACTGCGTGGAATTTAGTGAAGTGAATTAGGTGAATTAGGTGAATTAGAAGTTTAAAGAAAATCAGAGATTTCTTTTTTGAAAATGCTTCATGCAGGGGGGAAAAGCCTGACAAACAGCGATGCCAAGACCGAAGTAATCGCCATATTAAAGCTTTATTAGCTATAGAACTACACTCATACACTGAAATTGCACGCTAAAATCAAAAATCATCAACCCCAATCATCTCCACAATTATCGTGAGCCTCGTAAACGTCGAGTTCGACGGGGATTCTGTTGTGAAGCAACCGGGGTGCTGGTGGTCTCGCTCTTCGGCTCTCCATCGTCAACCAAGTCCTTTAAGCCTTCGAGTTCATCCTCGTCCAGTTCACTGAGTTCTTCACTCATTCCACGCATGACATCCCGTCCAGTCCACCGTTCCTCGTGAACAGTTGTACCGACAGGGTCAAATGGTTGCATGTACCATTGAATGCCACCCATAGCCAAAGGCAGCTGCTGGTCTTGCTCGGTCAAGACAGGCGTTGGGTGTCGATAGTAGGTGGGAACACTCTTCATGGGTTCTTCAGTAGGAGGTAGTTCTTCCATCCCAGATGCTTCGGGGTGTTGTTCATCTGTGGGTTGGGCTTCCGATGGAGCCTCTGTGGTAGGAAGTGTCCCTTCAACTCCTTCCATCGCATCAGGGTGACCAGACAGCTCAAGATCACCTTCCGGCTCGACAGAGTCACCATTGCGAGACATCACACTGTGGTCAAGAATCATATCGAGCTCCTTCAACTCCTTCTCAAATGGTTTCCGGTTGAGCTCGCTCTCTTTCCTGATCGCATCCTCTAGGGAAGGCTGGATGACCTTGATTATCCGTTTTGCCAATTTTCTCTTCTCGCGTTGCTCCAGGCTGAGCTCCGGGGCGCGACCACTGATCTGCGCTTGGAGTTCCGCGGTGTCGCCAGCGGGCTCCACGCCGATTTCTGAGGTAAAAAGACTGGCCAAATCGGCAGAGAAGGCAGCAACAGACGGATAGAATCGTTCGTTGAGCCTTTTTCGGATTGACATCAAGCCTGCTGCAAACACACCCTTTCCATCGAGCCTGAATAAAGTCAGTATGACCATTGACAAAATAGGAGGAGTATATCTTACAGTTGAGCTTTCTCAAAGATGGGCCACAGCAGTGGGAACGTAGGGAAGTAGACAAGATCGACGATGTTACGGAGCATCTCTGCATCCTTCAACTTCTCTTTCTCCCGTTTCTTCACTTCGTCGCATAACATTCTCAATCGGTCGAGATCCTTGTAAAGTCGCTCACCAAACTCAATGCGACGCTCCAGACGTTTGTGTCCGGGAACACCCATTGCCACATAGTCTCTTCGTGTCATCTCCATAGATGAGAAGGTCTCCAGCTGCAACTGGAGTCGCTTGAGCAAGGCTGCTCCACGTCTCGCTTCTCGTTTCAATGTCCAATACTTGGATGCATCCTCAGCATATTGCTTCCTTTGGCGGACTGTAAAGCGCCCAAGAGAAGCAATCACCGAGTTTAACACAACCTGGGGGATAACCGGGGCACCGGAGGGTAACTTCCAGATTGTTCTGGGTACACGTTTCCGTTTATTGCCGCTTACTGTTAAGGTAATGCGAGGAGTAAGGGTGCGATCCTCTTCTCCTCCATCACTGGGGTGCGCCGGGCCCATCGAGAGTGCTGCGGCTTGGCTGTCTCCCCATCGTCTACCCTGCATGGTATTGCGGTAATATTCGACGGCATCGGCAGTTGCAGAATCAGTACCATGCTCCAATCGCCAGTCAGGAGGAACATGCTTGTCGCAGAAAGCCTTGAGAAGGTGGGAGTCCATAAGACCGTGGCCAATCTTCATCTTGAGATAAAGTTGAGCTCTGCGAGCACATGAGACATGGAAGGCGACAAAGCAGTTTTTGTTACTGCATTGAATGGATGCACCCATCCGCTGTTTGCAGATGTAGCAATTCAACTTCCAGCGGCTGCGTGGGACCTTTTCGACATCGGTCACCGGCTCCATAAGAGAGGGATTACCAATGGAAACTTCGGGGATCCAGAAAGAGCAGAGTAGATGAGCCCATTTGGACGAGGTTGTTTGTTTGAATGCACCCTCAGTGTTCGGGCAGAAAATACAATTGGTGGCTCCTCTGCCTAGCAACTGGCACTTGCGGCAAAGCCACTGACCTTCTGGAATGAAAGGAACACCATAACACTCTTGATGCACTGCGAGGTCACAGCCATCGCAGAATACAATTGCATTCGAGTTTTCACAATCGCCATCATCACAGATAGCACACTTGCTGTCTTGTTCTTCGCCCGGTCCAGCAGTCTCGCCATTGACCGCAGCTGCAGAGCTGGAGCGAAGACGTCCAGTCTGTGGGGGTTTGGGATTCGGCTTGGGGATGCGCTTCTCAAGGGCGTGCCACTCCCTCTCGATTTTGGTCATGGTAATCTCAAACACAGCGGGCTTGATGGGTTCGAGCTGATCTTCACGGCGCTTCGCATTGTATTCTTCCAACCATTTTTCATCCTGCTCATCCATGTCATATTCGACACGTCCAATGGTGGTGTTGACGTCTCCATCTGTCATGGCAGGTTGAATGACATCAAGGTCATCTTCTTGGGTGCCTTCGGTCATGCGAATAAATCGCCGGTCATGGCGGAGGAAGAGATCGCTCTCCTGGTATCCCACGTTTGCCATAGTCCGGTCGACATAGTTTTGATGACCGACACCGTTCTTCTCATAGAATGTGAAAGGGTCGCGCAGTCTGAACGACGGCTTGGGGAGTGTTAGTTTCTCCCGAGGGTTGGGGCCCGGGGGCGGTATGATTTTCTGTCCTTGTTGGGCAAGAAGCGCATTAAGGATGGCCTCAGGGCGACGAGGTGGACGGCCTGGCCTGCGTTTAATTGGGATTGGGGAAGCCAGTTCGCCTGATATAATGACTGGTGATCCTGAATGATCTGTGACTGTTGCACCTGCCAGTGACTCCAGGCTCAAGATAGGAGCGGAGGTATCTGGGGCATCAACTTCTTCAGAGGTGAAGACGGCAATTTTGCCATCAATGTCCAGGTCAGGGTGGAACTCTTCCCACCCGCGTTCTTCGCGTGGCTTGTACCCATCGCCTTGTTGAAGAGCAAGAGCGGCGGCCGTAGAAGAGGTGAACCGACCGCGAGCTTGGTTCTTATCGCGCCTTGGACGCGACATAGAGGGTGGTGTTGTTGGCATGATGGGAGGTGGCGGTGGAGGGGCTAAGAATGGTTGGTCCATCTCACGGGGTGGACGGCCTCGAGCACTTGTGGAGTGGCGTCGGGGAGCGCTAATTTTCTTGGGAGTTTCTTGGGTTTCGGCGGCGGCGGCGGCAGCTGCAGCAGCAACAGCGTCGAAGTCGATGAATCTTCCTCCTCCTCCAGGGCCACCTGGAACGTACTTTCGCTTTTTTGAAGGAGGGCCGTCAGGGGAACCGAAGGAGGCGCTGTTGGATGATTTGAGGGAAGACCTAGGTTTACTGCGTGATGGACGACCAGAGATTGAATGTCTGACCGTCGGTGCCATAATTTGAGAAAGAGCGTTCGGGTGTGTATGCTGATCGTTGGGGGGGATGGTGATTGTTAATCGGACGGCGTCAGGTCGCGTTCAGAGGCCGACTCAGGCGGGGCCTCGGAAAAGATCAAAGCCGCAAGTCTCAAGTCATGCGACAGCAAACTAGAAACGAATGGACACAATGGACGCAAAGGACTCCAGAGCCCGTGGAAGCTGCAAGGCGCGATGAGGTGTTTGGTTATCTGGTCAAGGCGGAGACGCCCGAGCTGGCTGGGCCTGTTGGCCTGAGGCGCCAATATGGACTTTAAGCAACTCCGCAGCTTGACATAGGGACATGACATCCACAGCTGTTCCTTGCAAGCTATTTACGACTTCATTCCTTCGATCAAGCTTTGGATTTTCACTTTTGCATAGATTTACAACATGAGCGGTTCTAGCGACAACAGGTACGCGTTATCCACGTCAAAACACCACGCGCTTCAGCTTCGCTAACTGGTACTGCCTTCCTAAGATGGCGGGGTGGACCCAGTCGCCAGGCGTCGCAGCGCAACTCGAACAACCGTGATAAAGCAGGAGGACAGGGAAGCGCACGCGATAACAATACTGCTTGGGGCGCATCCAATCCTCCGCAGGAACAGCATGTCCCTGTACGGGGCTTCAACACCGCAGATGTTAAGAACACTTTGAAGCGTACGTATATGCACCTAATCTGCAAGTACACGGACTGACCAAGCTTTTGTAATACAGCAGGGCCTAATGGTACGTCTTATGTGCACCTCTATATCTACTCGAACCTAACCTATGCGCCATTGAAACAGAAACAAAGTTGTCGACGCCCTACAAACCTCAATCTAAAGACGGTCCTACCCAACGATCTACTGCCTGGGGTCCCAAGGGTACAGTCTCCCTTCGGTCGCAACATACCCTTGAACAAACAATAACCATATTTACAGCGCAAAACATGGCGAACGGCAAAGACTTCTTCCTAGAGCTTCGAAAACAAATTGCGACGCTGCAGCGAAGCGGGCCCCCTGTCGGCGGCTGATCATGACGGTTATGACTTCATTATCTCAAAGTACTTGCATTGCACAGTCGGTCGGTAGCGAGTTTGGTTCGTTTTCATGGGTTGCAACGGCGCATCTTCGATACCCTACTGTGGAGGATGCATGGGTGATGAGTGGACTCGGGGGTTACATAACATCGGCGTCTCTGATGATTCTGGGTCTTACATGTCCATAATGCACTATGGCTCCTGCTTTTCAAAATTTATTCATTACAATTCACGCGCTGCGTCGGGAAATCCGTGGGGATGAGATTGTATTATTTTACATGCGCTATTATACAGAGAGGGTATGTCACTAATATACAAGCAGGTAGCTATCCAACTGCAATCATCGCTCTTGAATCCAGCCTCCTGGGCCAAGGATACCTCCATCATCAGCTTTGGGGTCAAGGGTCCATTTCCGCAGAGGACGACAGCTGAGCTCGGATCGGAAGCCAGCCTCGAACATCTCAATACCCGCCCACCCAATCATGGCCGCATTGTCGGTACACAAATATGGAGGCGGAGCAACGATCTTGATATGGCCAAAGCCGCGCATTTCCAAAAATGAAGTGAGAACTTTCATGAGGAACTGGTTGGCAGCAACGCCACCACTGACAACGAGAGTCTTGATATCATTCGTGCCATTATTGTGCGGCCGCAGAGTTTCCAGAGCGATAACAGTACGCGAGGCAAGGTGCTCGAAACAGACGCGCATGGCTTCCCGACCTAGATCGACACGCTCTGGCTGTGACATCTCAATATTCGTATCCTTATTCTGAACGATCTTCCCGACCATGCTCGCGATTGAAGAAAAGCTGAACTGCAAGATCCGCGTATTCGCAAATGGAGTCGTAACATACCATCCCCAATCGCTTACGCGCTTGGTTATTTCTTTACCCCGAGTCTCTGGTGGTGTATAATCCGCGAAATCGGCCTTGCCATTGGGGAAGACGAATTGCTCCAGACTCTTGCCGTACATGGTGCTTTTAGCTTCCCGAAGCAAAGAATCGGGTAGGATATCTCGTGCGGATTTATCGAGTGCCTCTCCAATAGCTATATCTTCGCTTGAAGCCAGAATACTATGATCCGTGAGACCTTTGGAATGAACCAAAGTCGTATGGCCTCCAGAGACGAGAATGGACAGGAAAGGGAATTCGGGCGTCATTGCGGGTGGGTCGTCAGCCTTGGCTTCATTTTCCAGACATGATACAAGACCCGGTGTCAGAAGATGTGCCTGCATGTGATGCACTCCGACCATGGGGATCTGCCATGCAAGCGACAGCGCTTTTCCAGTATCGAGGCCAACAGACAGGTTGGACCGCATTCCGGGGCCTCTTGTGGCGGATATGAAATCGGGCAGGCGGCGACGAGTCCCATCAGCCAGTTTGATTCCATCGCCTGTTTTCGACTCCGGTAGGTAATTAAGGGCTTTCTGTACAAGGGTTGCGAGGTTGTCTTGGTGGGATTCGAGGGCGATGATAGGGTGAATTCCGCGATGCGCGCGCGTATCGGCCGTTACATTTTCAAGGAAATGGATTTTCGCTGCACTCCTGGAGTCTTTCTTTGTTTTCTCCACGATTGCTACTGATGTATCGTCACTGTTGGTAACCAATTAGTTGGGTGGCTTTTTTTCGGACAGGCGTTTATCTCCGCTTACCATGACGTTTCAATTGCCAACGTGAGCAAGCCACGGCGGGAGGTCAAACATCTCCTCGCATTTAGCGCTGATCTGCGAAAAGTCGCAGCAGGTGTCACTAATAACAACATTGGTAAGATGCTTGACATACGACCGGCGACAGGGGCGAAAAAGATCGGACGCGCACGGGCCGGAGAAGCCCTGAATTGGAGCCCTAAATCAGATACCAAAACAGCAATCTATAGTGATCTAGGAGTACTCCGTACTGGCGCGAAAGGTACTACCTACCACTCTTGTATTTACTTGCTATTGGAATTTAGAATGTCAATATGGGGTCAAGGGACCGTTGTATTTGCAGTAGCGAGTGACTAGGTTAAAACATTTATACTCAAAAAATCAAAAATCATCAATCCAGGTCCCATCATAACGTCATAAATATATTGTTCCTCCAAAACATTGATACATCATTTTCCTTTCAAGAGCAGAGCGTGCGGTGTGCATCGAAGGCCGAGTCAGCCCAGATGAATGACACTGACGAGTTCTGAGCTAGCGACAAGCGCGAGAGGCAGCATACTCATCCAGAGAACCATCGTGAGCCAGGCTGGATGAACACTTTAATGCGCCGTTCTGACATTTCTAGGAATTCATCGTGCAGCTTGAGGATGTCCATTGTCGGGTGCGCGAAGTGTGCGGATTGAGGTAATCAACAAGAAACTCGGGGTGCAGGGCGTGGCATCATTGCAAAAACGCAAGATATAAAACCCGAATCATTCAGAAGCACCTGGTCGTTCCCCATTACTCCAGTCTTGGACGGTCATTAGTGATACAGAACTCGAACTTCATCTCACTGTCGGACCGTCCATCGCCGCTCTTCTCGTGACATCTTCATGTGCTTCCCGTAATACTCGTCTGGATTCTCAATGGGCGTTACACAGTGGATTGTTGGCGTCACTTGGAATTGTATACGCTTGTCAACCGTGGCAGCTCGCGAGGAGGACTGCTTCTTGAGGATACTCTTCGATGAGCAAGAGTTTGTGTACGAGTAGCTTGGGACTTGTAGTGAGGAGAATCTCATGCTGGACGGGCTCGCCGCGGAGATTGGCGAGACAGGTGTGCGAGGAAGAGCACTTGGTGACTTGAGCGACAGTGTTGGCCGAGGAGCATTCTGCACAGCAGAGATGCTCAGGGACAGCTTTGGCTTGACGACACGGGCGGTATACATTGTGATGGATGAAAATTCACGGTAGTTGAAGAAGTTTAAGACAATGTAAGTGATGTTGTTGGGGTTTTGTTCACAGGGAAACTTTGATCAACAAAGATGTCCGAGTAAGGAGAGAAACAAATTATTGACGTAGGTGTAAGGAGTTGAAGAAAGTTGGGCCAGCCAAATTGAAGCGCACGAAAATAGAGTCAAAAATAGAAAAATAGGAAAATCTTAAAAAACACTATCAATCCAGTCTCCTGGGGGACAGATGGGGGCTATATACTGCTTGAGGGGAACGAGTTTCTTCTCTAAGCGCCCACCCCATGCACGACGGTGCACAAATCACCACCATCACACTGGAGTTTCTAACTTGGGAAAGCTTCCGTCCCATCCAGCCAATTAAAATCCCTAAGGATTGGACTCCCTGTCTAGTGTGATGTGACGGATGGTAGGATTCGACGATGGACATATCCATATGCCCTGCAGCCAACTGCAGCTGGAACCACACCGTGGTATTTCTGTCCATTTGATTCGAAACTCTCGACCGACTATCAATAGGCGAAGAAGATCGCACTTACATCAAGTGAATTCCCACATTATTGGGTGATATCCCCGCATTATCACTGTGACGAGCAGTGGCCGCGAAAGCTGATTGGTTTGAATGTCAAATTTGGAAGATCGTCGTACTATAATTAGATATCACATGGGTTCGATGCCGCTATCAACTATTTTTACTCTTCAGGATTGAGAGCGATGAATAATCTATGCTCTTGCACATCTTTACTTCCTAGAGCAAAGCTACATATGGAGTAGTAAATGCAGATGTAGCACCGTTGGTCACATTCTGTTGTTTTGGGTGGCCAATTGGCCTCCAGTTCTTACAAGATAATGCTCATCTAGGTTACATCCCTGCATGATTTTCCTAGTGACTTTATTTCCTAATTTTTCAAACCGAGCACGTATGCTGTATGATGCACATAATGCTTGATATTTATGCTATTTATAGAAATACCTCTAACATACGGAGTAGACGGCGCATAGTTGACACACACGGATTATTTACACACATTTACTTGATTAGGGCAATGCCAGGGGAGAGTGTGTGAGTTTTATGAAACGAGCGACTAGCTCTGTCTAAGTATATGAACCTGTGAGGCTGTGATGGACCCTGACTGGACCCTGGACGGTAAGATATTAGAAGCAGATACGCAGGACATGAGACAAACATCCGCAGGTGACACAGAATACTTGGAATAACATACTGACTCAAGATCCTATGAGATTAGCGGAATTCCGTAGCATCCTACCGGGGCTTGGGGTGGGAGGCTGGGACGTCCATGGCTTGTTGGGAGGGTTTTCTGCCTGCCGGGGATGTGGCCGGTGCTTAGGGGGCTTCTAAAGTTTCAACTTGTTTAGACTCTTGGGTTGGGATATTGAGCTGTGATGAGTGATGAGTGATGTGTGTTATAAATGGATCTTAAGACGAAGAGATGGGTCTGTATGGATATTGCCCACTATTCGAGACTATAGAGGATATATTATCTGTGTTCCTTCTCATTATTAATTTATGAGATAAACTCGCATGAAAGAAATGATAATGTCCATTGTATAGAAGCTCTTCGTTCTATGTTCATCAAACAAGGTGTAAGGTGCGGGGAATGACGGTGGTGTAGCTTTCGGCCAAAAGATTCGTTGCTCTTTGGGAGGCGAATGATACCCTGGATTGGACGAGAAGCCAACTGACGGGACAAATGTGCTGGCTTTCAGAATCGTTCAACGGTCTCAGGTGATGATGAAACAGGATATTGAGAAATCACATGGCATACATTGAAAAGCCAAATAGCCTCCTGCTTTTTTCCCACCGTCTACCTACGTATAAAACTGAGAAGAGGAGGATGTCTTCAAAAAAGATGTCTGAACAGCTTGTCTGAGGAGACTGAAAAGATATCACAATTCCGCATTAGCGGCCAACTATAGTAGGAATAATATAGAACATAGGGCTGAGTTGACTCTTGTCCGCACGTGTATGATAAGATCTTATTGACCCACCTTTTGATAAAAGTCCATCATTTCCTCAAGTCATCGCTCAAAGGGGAATTTAAGCATAGTCCATGTAGATTTAGTGCCAACATTGAATATCATTTTTCGTATATTCTGATA